TCACTTTGTCATTATGGGGTACTGAGTGTAGATTAATGTAAAAAAAAAAAATTGAATGATTGTAGTATCAGGCTGCAACATAACAAAACTGAACAAAATGAAGGAGGTCTGAATACTTTCCAAATGCACTGTACTTGTTGCAGAATAAGACTATAGGAAGGTAAGTAAATATATCAGTGGGGCCAGGCTACATATTTGAAGGAGGAGCTGGCAAACCATTAAAATTAATAGTTCGTTGTGTTGTCTGTGGCAGATATATGTACTGCATCTATCTGGATAATGTCATTGTTGAAACATGAAGGAGATCATTATCATAACACGCTGAATCTGAGTGTTCCCATCAGTTGTTTCTTGTAGTTGTTTAGGCAGATATGTAGTATTGGAAAGGAACACGTTAATCTAAACCAGCAAATTTTATATTATTATCTAATGCTACACCTCTGAAGATTTTCCTCCTTTCCCCCCATCTTTACTGATATCTCAGTTTAATAAACTGACTAATCCATGAACAAAGTGCCCAGTTTATGCTCATCCAGTGGGTTTCTGCCAGGACAAGTTTATATAATTGATCATAAAATAGCTAGCTAGCTGTTTGTATTTTATTCCATTCCTGTCTGCCTTGGCTGCACCTATCTATGGTTTGTCTTTTCTTTGCAACTTTATTCTTCATTTTATTCCTCTCCCATGCATAATCAAGTAAAGGCACGATTCTAAGCTGTTCTACTGACAGCAAAATTATAAGGTGTTCAACAAACAATGACAGTTCTCTCTTTCTGGCACTAATTCATTTGCACCGCTGTCAAGGAAGCATCATTAAATTTTCAATGCATTAACAGTTCTTTACTGATAGTAGACATTAGCACACATTCTTTGCAGGTGGTCAGAATGATTTTGCAATGTCCTGTTGAATTTTCTACTCTGGGAAATTCATTTATTTTCTGATGTCAGATATTTGGAGTGCCAGCAAAATTAGCACAGTAGAGAGATATTTTTTAGCAGGGTGTGAAATACAAATAGACATAAACAGATCAATCTTTTCACTAGGTAATGAAGTCTGACATTTGTGATGCAACTAGAACTATACACGTTTTCTTTAAAGCTATTAAGAAAAAATTTACCTGAATCACTCAGAAAGCTTTTTGGACAGTAGTGATTCACTCTCACCTTTACTTAATTGCTGTCAGCTCTATTTCTCTCATATAAAACTGTATCAGCATCACTAGGTTGGATACA